CGTCGTGGACATCCACGCTCTCTCATTGAAGTTTCAGGATACAATGGTTGCTATTCCTAGAGCGGCCTCGTTTTATACCATGGGGTACAAAAGTGCTCCAGAGTTGCCCGGCGTCCATGTTTCATCCTTAGAAAGCCTTCAGAGACCCTGTAAACCGTATCAGACCTTGATCAGAACGTGAGAAATGTGAGGGCTCCCAGCAGAATGTGAAGGGATACCATCGGAACATGATGAGTCTGGAAAGAACGTACTGTCATCCGTGGAAGACTGCAGGCTGAGCCGTAGTGCGCCGTTGAGTCTTCTGGAAAACATCAGCCCTGCTCCCTTAAGATCCATCATGGATACCTTGACAGACCGCGAGAAAACGTAACAAAACTAAAATGCGGAGATAAAAATGACCCAAGGCAAATGGGGCTGCCGTAGTTGCCAGTCACATAGTGTAAACATAATAGTAAATATTTGCTTATCATGATAAAATTAAATAACATGTCTTATATCCTCCTGAAAAAAACCTCACACAATGTATACCCAGTACATGTTATACCAGTTTCTCTCTTATAAACCTGAAATAAACCATAGAAATGAACAACACAGCTGGAATAAATGTCATACTCCTGAAAGATACTAAAATATTAGTCACACTTGTAAAATATATACTTTTTTTGTACCGGCTATATGATTTGTGTTCTCTCTTTTCATTGGTGTATGTCTACAAAAGTGTTATTTTTTGATAGTGAAATGCGATATTTCTCTAAATTTGTCAAAAGTGTCACTATAAACCAGTATAAATCCATCTCACCTGGAATTATATGATAAATAAAAAACATTTTAAACTATCTCAATGTAAATAACAAGAAAAACATTAAACAATTTGGTGCCAAATATACATGTATACAATGTGTATATGCAATATAACATTAAGAGACAAAAATACAAAGTAAAAATTGTTACTCAGGGGGAACAACTCTAAAGAAAGTTAGAGAAAATGAGTAGATTAAACACATAGGTGTTTGGTGTTTGTAGTGAGTACAGAGTTTGATGTTTATAGTGAGTACAGAGTTGGTAGTGAGTACAGAGTTAAGTGTTTATAGTGAGTACAGAGTTAAGTGTTTATAGTTAGTACAGAGTTAAGTGTTTATAGAGAGTACAGAGTTAAGTGTTTATAGTGAGTAAAGAGTTTGTAGTGAGTACAGAGTTTGGTGTTTATAGTGAGTACAGAGTTTGGTGTTTATAGTGAGTACAGAGTTTGGTGTTGATAGTGAGTACAGAGTTTGGTGTTTATAGTGAGTACAGAGTTTGTAGTGAGTACAGAATTTGATGTTTATAGTGAGTACAGAGTTTGGTGTTTATGGTGAGTACAGAATTTGATGTTAATAGTGAGTACAGAGTTTGATGTTTATAGTGAGTACAGAGTTTGGTGTTTATAGTGAGTACAGAGTTTGATGTTTATAGTGAGTACAGAGTTTGGTGTTTATAGTGAGTACAGAGTTTGGTGTTTATAGTGAGTACAGAATTTGATGTTAATAGTGAGTACAGAATTTGATGTTTATAGTGAGTACAGAGTTTGGTGTTTATAGTGAGTACAGAGTTTGATGTTTATAGTGAGTACAGAGTTTGGTGTTTATAGTGAGTACAGAGTGTGGTGTTTATAGTGAGTACAGAGTTTGGTGTTTATAGTGAGTACAGAGTTTGATGTTTATAGTGAGTACAGAGTTTGTTGTTTATAGTGAGTACAGAGTTTGGTGTTTATAGTGAGTACAGAGTGTGGTGTTTATAGAGAGTACAGAGTGTGGTGTTTATAGTGAGTACAGAGTTTGGTGTTTATAGAGAGTACAGAGTTTGGTGTTAATAGTGAGTACAGAGTTTGGTGTTAATAGTGAGTACAGAGTTTGGTGTTTATAGTGAGTACAGAGTTTGATGTTTATAGTGAGTACAGAGTTTGATGTTTATAGCGAGTTCAGAGTTTGGTGTTTATAGTGAGTACAGAGTTTGATGTTTATAGTGAGTACAGAGTTTGATGTTTATAGTGAGTACAGAGTTTGATGTTTATAGTGAGTACAGAGTTTGATGTTTATAGTGAGTACAGAGTTTGATGTTTATAGCGAGTTCAGAGTTTGGTGTTTATAGTGAGTACAGAGTTTGATGTTTATAGTGAATATGGTGTGTTTAGTGTGTTCAAGGTTAGGTGGGTGTTTTTTCTGTGGAAGATGACAAGCTTTGGGCACAAACTCAGATATATCCAATTCTGTGCTTGAAGGGCAAACATAACTTTTTTCACTGACCTAGTCTAGTGGGAAGGAAGTCACTAGTGTTCTACCACAGTCATCCAGATCTACCTCATCATGTTTAAATGATAGTGTCAAGAGGCTTCACATAGAAAGAGGAAGAGATAGATATTGGTGGATACACTGAAATATGACTAGAGTATAGAAGGAAAACATTGGAGGTTAAGTAGGACATTGGTGTGTTCCATTTTGAGGAGGTCCATTTACAGGGAAGTGAAATTGCAATGGGCTAAACGTAGTTTTGAAGTGTTATGTTTGGTAAAAGCATTTATGAGAAAATCTCGACAGCTTGGATCAATGGTGATTTTCTGATTTTTTGTTTAATAGTATGGAAAGGTCACATTGTGTAAGAGATGGAAGGGGCAAGCAGTTTAATAGCATTTTATAGCAAATCCTTGATTTGGTGTTTTCAATCATATTGCCTCTATGTAATTATAAGGGGAATATCTTTTGACTGCACCTCCAAAGTTTTTATTTTTTTTTAACTGAATTTTCGATAAAGGAATGAAAATCCATTTCATCCACTGACATACCTGGGTCTTTACAATTTCTATATTGTCAAGTTGTCATTTTATCATGTAGGTGGGCATTTTTAGACTTTCTTTTCAAATATGTAAATAGTGCGTTCTTTTGCTCTGACTTAATCAATCATATGCGTTTTTAGTCCCTAGTCATAATTTGCAGACAATTCATTTCGATCAGTTTTACTGCCATCAAAAGTCAAATAATAGCAAGTGTTTTAAACAGGATTCAATGCAATTTTAACTCTCTCCTTTTTACACCAAAATGAGATATATTTTGCTTGTCTGGCAGAGTTCATGTTACGTTTAAAGAATATTTTCATCCCTAGTTCCTATTTGTTTTACATATGTGTACTGTATAAGTGACTGTAATATTTTAGACTTGTGTTGTATTGTTGTTATCCATTCTGTTAGTTGACACTTGGGACTGAAGAATTATCAATAAATAAACAAATATTTCCCTTTATATTCTGTTATTTGTTCTTTTGATCCAAAAAATTCACGCAGCCAGTCATAATTATGTTTGTAATTTATCCAGATCTGACTCTACAATATCAAATATCTTCATAATTTGTGACATTACAGTAACATTTTGCATCATTTTCCAGCATATCATTGATCTATCAACAAATAGTATATTGCAAAGTATATCTCCCTAAGGAATCCAACTTAGTACATCAGGTGAGTTGGATCATAATCTCTTACTCAAAAGACTTTCGTGTCTGTTACTATGGAAAAATTTTATCTGTTTTTTTGTAATCTTCCAATTCCAGGACATCTATAGCTTAGTCTAGAGCTTTATGGTGCATATATAAGCATCTTGCTTATACAATGTGTTTCTATCCAAGTTTAAGTGAAGTTTTCTAATTTGATCTTTGTTGAAGGTTAAGTCTGTTTAACTACTTTATCCCCTTGTGAATCTTGGGTTTTATGAACATGATCTGAACTGGAACTTTAATAGTTCAGCTTCTTCTAAGAAAGATTCTTGTCTGCTTTATCTGAAAATTTACTTGTTATTATAAGGCTCTATAGTTCAGATTCTGTTGTAGGACTCCTAAATATTTGGTCTTGTAAACATTAAGTTTAACTATTGCTGGAAACCCAAGGTTTTCTTAGTACAAAGTGTATTAAAATTGTGACTATCAACTAGTGGTAATGTTGCATCTCTTGACAACATTACAATTTTGTTATATTGTTTTGTCCTAGCTGGGAATGAAGACGTAAATGGTATCAATATATCAGCAGGTACTGGAGCAGCATATCTACCTATACATATATAGGGCAAATGTAAACAACTCAAAAATACTTTGTCGTGACATGGTTGCACATAAAAATAGTCACATATCTAGTGAGTTGACAAAATGAATGTTTCTTGTCATTAGACATCATTTCCGGAGAATTGACTCAATTTTGTTACTGTACATTTTGGTACTTGCATCCCTTTATTGACATGTTCACATGATCAGACATAAATTTCCTTCATTCATTATTGTAACACCACATATCGTTCTTGCTTCCACCACAAAATAATCATTTTCATTGCTTGTTATATTTTATTTGCATCAGGCTGAATGCATCTGTGGCCTGAATCTGCATCAGAGGGATGCTTATCTGCAGTCAATACAAGGAGTTAATGACGCTATATTGGATGGACTCGCTATAGAGTTTGATCCCAAATAGTAAGTGTATGGAATTGAGCAAAAAAGCCTAAACCTTAAACTTCATTAAACTGACTTGCATGATTTGTCATCAATTTTTTTTCAGTCTGCACAAAAGAAAAAAGACTTGAGCTATATGTTTAAATTTGCCCTATACATGTATAATCATATTTGCCTATATAGCCAGATTTGCCGGTATTTCTGAACCTGGTCAACACTAATATAAAACTAACCAATCTTCCTTATGATCAACTGTATCTGTTAGACTTTCTAACCTTAAAGATCCACAGATGCACTTCAAGCTGAACAGTTTTAAGCTTACCTACCTTGTGACTCGGTATAATACATGGTAATAAGTCCCTAACCAGCCCCGCCCACTCAATCCGACCCATCCAACTCGCCCCCGCCCCCACAAATCTGTAACTTACTAAACTTGCAAGTACCCGGCCCGTGTATAGATGGCTGGGTTACGTCGTTCTTATACAGTGCTTCAAATAAAAAATCATGAAAGTTCCATTGTTTCAACATATACTCACAATTAACATGCAAGCTCATCATTCATGTCCAAATTATTATTCTACTTCTGGAATTTCTTTCCTATAAAGTTTGGGACGATTACTCAGTTTTTACTTCCGCTTTACATATGAGAAAAACGTCTGAGCTTTTGAGTTCTTTGTGATCGGGATGTTTCGGATGTTTACATAACATTTGAGAATGACTCGCATGTTCCCCTATTCCGAACATCACACACACACCATTCGATTACGTTTTACACAGGCACCTGTTTCCAACAGAATACGTTTTGAGGAACACTGGTAATGATAGTTTCCTACTAAGATTATAGTTATTTGTTTCAATCATGATTCGTAAATGAAACAAACGCGGACTTAAGTATATTTTCGATCATGTGCAAGTTTTCTTCAGAGCTTATTTGTGATCGTTGAAGTCCAGGATTTATTGTGTTGTTGCGTGGGCGTTGTCGGAATAAAGGACACACGTCTGGTTGAAGTATTAGAATTATATATATATATATTGTTATTTGTTGCACAGCTTTTACTATTTAGATAACAGGGATCTATTTCTTATACAATGACGGGTTTCTTTTAAAATTGTTTCACAATATCCTGCTATTATTTTATGCCTTACAATGTCATTCAGCCAGTGAGAACAGCGTAGTTATGTATATTTTTAGCCCTATTAATTAATTATCAGTTTGTTTTTATTTTAATCAAACTTTGCTGATCTTTAAATGCCATTGAGTTATCTTATTGTCAGAGCCATTTAATTCATACCCATATTGTGAGGTTCATTGATATATAGATGTAGGTTTATAATTTTGAAACAGCAATGCAGTCCAATAGCTAGCTTTAATTAATTTTGTGGCTGAAGGGATTGAGTGTCACGTACATGTTCTCAAGGTAAGCAACAATGATCAAGGTTATCTGCTGGATGGTGGCAACTCCATGTTACAGTCAATGCATGTTACATTTGATGGCAGTGATTGGGAAGGTATGTCCTGTAAACTGCCCTCAAACAGCATGGCAGTACAATGTTTCCGTAGACTTGTTGGGTGACCATTTTCAAGGGATGCCTGAAGTGGCACTGCTATTAGATGGACAGTTATGTGTTGGGAATGCCAGTTAATAGACCGCTCAGTTACAGAGAGGTTTTCTTCAGTGTGATCAGTTGAACATAAGGCTATAGCTAGTAAGACTGAAGTCCCAGGTTCAAATCCTAGTGAAGGAATTGAAATTATTAATGACCTCTGTTGTATTTAAATAAGCAACACACTTGATTATATATGGTGATAACTAATGATGAAGATTAACATTCTTTGTTAAACGTGCAACAGTTTTATTGCACTCTGAATTATGGTGACATAATTTACCTTAGACAGGGTTTAGGGCCTTTTTCCTGTATCATAGAACAAGAACAGATCCCTGTTCAAGTATCACCATTTTACATTTTCTATATATCAAAATAGTTCTGAACATTTGCTGATTTTTACCAAAAAACATTTTTTCAAAGATATATCACTATGGTATCAACTTGATTACATGTATAAAAAGAGTGTAGTCAAGGGGAACAACTCTAATAGTATTTCTAGCTAGGTGATGGGTATGTCACCTAGCATCAGTTCTTTGCTTTACAGTTTTGGTTTAGGTTTAGAAAATGAGGAATTTATTAGGAGACGGACTCTCAGAAAGTAGAATGTCCTTTAAGTTGTACAAATTATTTCATTTTTATCATGCATTTTGAAAGACTTATTCGTGGTACTAAAAGATTTTATAACAGTAGTGTTCTATTTTGTTGTCATTGTATTAGATTTACATTTACAAATTCGATTTATTTTTATCAAATGATTGATATTTAAAATATGATAAAAGATTTATCTTTCTTTTTTTCAGAATTCTGGTCATGTGACATGTAAGATACTGATCATGTGACACTTCAGACTTGCCCGTAGTATCCGAAGTTTTAAGCTTGAAAATGGCATCAGATCAACAAGACCCAACAAGAATGCAAACAGATAACAAATCTGACATTTTGTCTGAAAATCAGTCAGAAGGAAGTCTTCTGTGTGATGCAACAAAGTCTAATCAATCAGAGGGATGTTTGTATGATGACAGGACATCAATTGACCAATTAGAAGAACACTGTCCTGAGGAAAGATTTACAAACCCATGCAAAAGGAAGAGAGTACCGTCGACTGAATACCTAGACGCCATTGACAAAACAGAGGATATCAATAATTATTTTGAATCACTTCCAAAAACAGAAAGTATTAAAAATCACACTTGTGCAAACCTTCTTAAAACTAGATCACTTGGTGTAGAAGGGTCATCATTGGTTCAAGGGTCATCTTCTTCGGAAAGGCCAAGGTCATTTGAAAGAGGTCATGGACATGAGTGCAATTTAACAAGATATTCTTGTCCTAGAACTGATAAATCTGATAACTCAGGTTTTGATTCAGAAATTTGTGTTACAGAACATGTTACCGTTTCTACTGCTTCTCAGTGTGTTTCTAGTCAAATTTCATCTTATGGAGATGATGAGACGGGGGAGACATTGTGTCCCATTAGATCTAAAGGTGAATCGCCGCCCATTGTAAATAATTCATCACATCAAGGTGTTTATAGTGACATAGACAGCACATCAACTTCAAATCATAACGATAATAAATTTCATTGTGGGACAGATCACCTTTGTCTATCTGGTACAGGGAATTCAGTGTTAACATCATCTTCCATTAGGAAACCATTTTCTATATCAACAGCTACATCGTCATCAGCATCTAAACCAGACTTAATGTCTAATTCTGGTGAAATATCAAAACCATTACAAGAAACAGAAGCATTATTTTCATCACCAAACTCTTCAACACCATCACCAAACTCATCTACTTCATCACCGAAGCAGACATTTTCTATTTCTGTGATGTCATCTACGTCTTCAACATCACAGAGGCCTGTGTTTCCTCGAGGGTTTCCACAACCAGAAGTTGTGTCGCAGCCGATGCGAGGATTTCCAGGTGTCATTGTCAACACATACAATTTTGAAATTCCTATGAATAAGGAAACAACTAATATGAGTTGCAGGTCAAAAACTTGTGAAGATGATGGTGCAACTGATTCAACCGTCCACTTTAATATTCCATCATATCTATTGATACAGATTTTCCAGCATCTGTCAATGTATGACTTGTTACATAATGTTTCCAGTGTTTGCAAACTATGGTATACTATCTCTCATGACCCAGACCTTTGGCGTGTCATTGACCTTCGGAACCAGGTCAAGGTCACTGATGTGGTGATGAAGAACTTGACCTCCTACAGTGATAGAGTGATTTATCTAAATATTTCTGACATTGTAACAATCTCTGAGGATTGTCTTGTAAGCACTGTTACGACCTGTAAACACCTAAAAACATTGAAACTCTCAAGGTGAGTATAGTTGTAGAGATAAATCTTAGATGTAGAGTTAAATATGTTGAGGCAACTAGAAAAGGTACTGGGATTTTTTCGTGTTAGATTTTGAATAATTTACATTCTGCATACACTTGTCTTCAAGTGTGAAATTTAAACAATTTGATAACAGTAACACTTACTGATGTTTGTCTCCAGAAGAGCCTCCATAGTTTGATATTTCCTATTGGGTTGATGCTGATGTTGAAACTTCATATCCTCTATTTGATATGTATGAGAAAAACAAGATTCGTAAAAAAAATGATCAGATAAAGATGTAAATCAAGAAATCAACTCTTAATAGTTCTAAACCTTCCCCAGCTTACAGCCTGTATATCTATACCTACAACATATATATAAACCTTCCCCAGCTTACAGCCTGTATATCTATACCTACAACATATATATAAACCTTCACCAGCTTACAGCCTGTATATCTATACCTACAACATATATATAAACCTTCACCAGCTTACAGCCTGTATATCTATACCTACAACATATATATATAAACCTTCACCAGCTTACAGCCTGTATATCTATACCTACAACATATATATATAAACCTTCCCCAGCTTACAGCCTGTATATCTATACCTACAATATATATATAAACCTTCTCCAGCTTACAGCCTGTATATCTATACCTACAACATATATATAAACCTTCCCCAGCTTACAGCCTGTATATCTATACCTACAACATATATATAAACATTCCCCAGCTTACAGCCTGTATATCTATACCTACAATATATATATAAACCTTCACCAGCTTACAGCCTGTATATCTATACCTACAATATATATATAAACCTTCTCCAGCTTACAGCCTGTATATCTATACCTACAATATATATATAAACCTTCACCAGCTTACAGCCTGTATATCTATACCTACAACATATATATAAACCTTCCCCAGCTTACAGCCTGTATATCTATACCTACAATATATATATAAACTTTCACCAGCTTACAGCCTGTATATCTATACCTACAACATATATATAAACCTTCCCCAGCTTACAGCCTGTATATCTATACCTACAATATCTATATAAACCTTCACCAGCTTACAGCCTGTATATATATATATCTCGTAGAAAAAGAATCAGATCATTGCTGTCTCTATTTTTCAATTTCAAGGACATTATTGTGATTTCATTCTACTATTGACAATCCTCCCATCTTTGAGGTTATTTATTGATGAAGTCTAGCAAATGTTGTCTGTGAAATTAAAAATGTTCTGGTTGTTTGCCCTGACAGGTGTATAGCTGTGACGTCTGACAAAGTACTGACAGCTATCGGTGAAAATTGCCATAATCTACGAAATATTCATCTGGAAGTTTGCTACAGGATCACTGACAAAGGCCTTGAGGCAGTAAGTTATGAATTACTTTATAGATATATCTCAGGTCTATAAGGATTCCATTTGTCCACATAAAATTCAAATCAAATTTGCAAAGGGTATCAGGGCATCTCTTACCAAAACATATTTGTCAAACAGATTCATGTCATACACTGTATTCCGTCGAAAAAAAGAAAAGGAAACAATGTCATGTCACTGTCTGAGCAAAGTTGTTACTTCCAGTTGGAAATTCATCTGTCTGAAAAGTAAATTATTTGCAGGATATCTCCATTATTGGCCTAGTGCAAACAGGGAACAAAATTAATGTTAGACTCCGTACCAAGGAATCATACATTGCCTTTATGGAGACGACGAAACCATCCGATTTAAACACATGCCACTAGTAGCAATGTCTGCAAGTATCCCTGATACTTTACTAATTACAACAGATACGGACTGACAACAAAATCTGTGTATATTATTGATTCCTTCCTAGCGGGATAATGTTAGAATTTAGTTGGTAATGTTTCTTGTTCTTCCATGATTTCTACAATCAGAAACATGATGATTGCAAACATGACTAACAATCAATTACAATTTTCTTGATGTATCACCTTCACTATAAACTTTACCTGAGGTAACAGGCTTGTAATGATTATAACCTATAACTTTATTATATATATATATATATAACTTACCTGAGGTAACAGACTTATTATGATCATAACCTATTCCTTTATTATATATATATAACTTACCTGAGTTAACAGGCTTGTAATGATTATAACCTATACCTTTATTATATATATATATATAACTTACCTGAGGTAACAGGCTTATTATGATTATAACCTATACCTTTATTATATATATATAACTTACCTGAGTTAACAGGCTTGTAATGATTATAACCTATACCTTTATTATATATATATATATATAACTTACCTGAGGTAACAGACTTATAATGATTATAACCTATACCTTTATTATATATATATAACTTACCTGAGGTAACAGACTTATAATGATTATAACCTATTCCTTTATTATATATATATATATAACTTACCTGAGTTAACAGGCTTATTATGATCATAACCTATTCCTTTATTATATATATATATATATATATACTTACCTGAGTTAACAGACTTATAATGATTATAACCTATTCCTTTATTATATATATATATATATATATAACTTACCTGAGTTAACAGACTTATAATGATTATAACCTATTCCTTTATTATATATATATATATATATAACTTACCTGAGGTAACAGACTTATAATGATTATAACCTATACCTTTATTATATATATATATATAACTTACCTGAGTTAACAGGCTTATTATGATCATAACCTATTCCTTTATTATATATATATATATATAACTTACCTGAGGTAACAGACTTATTATGATTATAACCTATGAATTTAGATATTATCATTTATATCAACTTCATATAATGTCTACTATATCCGCTGTATATATTGTTTACCCATTGCTCAATGTAATTGTTGAATTATGACGTCACTTGCTTGTTTACACCTGTCTCCATGACGTCACAATACACTGCCTAGAGATGTTGTTCTGATGACAACTCACCGGGAGTTGAAACATGTTAACAACGCTCCGCAATAAACATCCAGTGTATGGAAGAACCACCATGTTGGACTTACTCCTTTGTACTCACTTAATATCAGCTTTGTATACTGAATACACGGAAGCTTTCGTCACAGTTTAACTTTCTCTTGATTTACCCGAGCTAAGACATATGTTTAATGTGTTTTTGGGCAACTTTGAGGCAGTAAAAATGAACAGTTTTATCCGAGAATAAAAAAAAACTTTTGGCAAATATATCCATCGATGCAGTTAATATGAATTTGGTGGTCGATCAATACGAAAATAAAGTCACAGATAGGTAGTCTGAACTCTTCTGACAGAAATCTTACACAGTAGTTTAACGAAACAATTGCCTGAAGTTTGTGTCATTTGAAATGATTAAAATCACTTATTAAATTTCATATGAATCTTGTATGATATGCTTGATATACAAAACATTATTAAATAGATCTGTTATTAACAGCTGGCTGCTGGGTGTCGGAAACTTGAGGGTGTTCACATCAGTCAGTGCGAGGACGTTGGCAACGAAGGATTGGCTGGTCTGGCGGAGTATTGTCCACTTTTGAGACGATTGTCTGTGGATAGCTGTGCAAAGGTCAGCTGTTATTAGTTTGTTTATCAATATTAATCAACATTACGATTGGCAATAATGTACAAGATGTCTGAATCATCAAACAAACTCTGGCGATTGAAATTTCCCTTAGGTGCTAAACATCTACCTCACCCCAGGACTCCAGGTTTTGTTTAGAGCTATTCCAGTAAAACATCTATCCCCCCAGGACTCCAGGATTTGTTTAGGGCTATTCCACAGGACTCCAGGTTTTGTTTAGGGCTATTCCAGTAAAACATCTACCTCACCCAAGGACTCCAGGTTTTGTTTAGGGCTATTCCAGTAAAACATCTACCTCACCCCAAGGACTCCAGGTTTTGTTTAGGGCTATTCCAGTAAAACATCTACCTCACCCAAGGACTCCAGGTTTTGTTTAGGGCTATTCCAGTAAAACATCTACCTCACCCAAGGACTCCAGGTTTTGTTTAGGGCTATTCCAGTAAACATCTATCCCCCCAGGACTCCAGGTTTTGTTTAGGACTATTCCACAGGACTCCAGGTTTTGTTTAGGGCTATTCCAGTAAACATCTATCCCCCCAGGACTCCAGGTTTTGTTTAGGACTATTCCACAGGACTCCAGGTTTTGTTTAGGACTATTCCAGTAAAACATCTACCTCACCCAAGGACTCCAGGTTTTGTTTAGGGCTATTCCAGTAAAACATCTACCTCACCCAAGGACTCCAGGTTTTGTTTAGGGCTATTCCAGTAAAACATCTACCTCACCCAAGGACTCCAGGTTTTGTTTAGGGCTATTCCAGTAAACATCTATCCCCCCAGGACTCCAGGTTTTGTTTAGGACTATTCCACAGGACTCCAGGTTTTGTTTAGGGCTATTCCAGTAAAACATCTACCTCACCCAAGGACTCCAGGTTTTGTTTAGGGCTATTCCAGTAAAACATCTACCTCACCCAAGGACTCCAGGTTTTGTTTAGGGCTATTCCAGTAAAACATCTACCTCACCCAAGGACTCCAGGTTTTGTTTAGGGCTATTCCAGTAAACATCTATCCCCCCAGGACTCCAGGTTTTGTTTAGGACTATTCCACAGGACTCCAGGTTTTGTTTAGGGCTATTCCAGTAAACATCTATCCCCCCAGGACTCCAGGTTTTGTTTAGGACTATTCCACAGGACTCCAGGTTTTGTTTAGGGCTATTCCAGTAAAACATCTACCTCACCCAAGGACTCCAGGTTTTGTTTAGGGCTATTCCAGTAAAACATCTACCTCACCCAAGGACTCCAGGTTTTGTTTAGGGCTATTCCAGTAAACATCTATCACCCCAGGACTCCAGGTTTTGTTTAGGACTATTCCACAGGACTCCAGGTTTTGTTTAAGGCTATTCCAGTAAACATCTATCCCCCCAGGACTCCAGGTTTTGTTTAGGACTATTCCACAGGACTCCAGGTTTTGTTTAGGGCTATTCCAGTAAAACATCTATCCCCCCAGGACTCCAGGTTTTGTTTAGGACTATTCCACAGGACTCCAGGTTTTGTTTAGGGCTATTCCAGTAAAACATCTACCTCACCCAAGGACTCCAGGTTTTGTTTAGGGCTATTCCAGTAAAACATCTACCTCACCCAAGGACTCCAGGTTTTGTTTAGGGCTATTCCAGTAAAACATCTATCCCCCCAGGACTCCAGGTTTTGTTTAGGACTATTCCACAGGACTCCAGGTTGTGTTTAGGGCTATTCCAGTAAACATCTATCCCCCCAGGACTCCAGGTTTTGTTTAGGACTATTCCACAGGACTCCAGGTTTTGTTTAGGGCTATTCCAGTAAAACATCTATCCCCCCAGGACTCCAGGTTTTGTTTAGGACTATTCCACAGGACTCCAGGTTTTGTTTAGGGCTATTCCAGTAAAACATCTATCTCACCCCAGGACTCCAGGTTTTGTTTAGGGCTATTCCAGTAAAACATCTACCTCACCCAAGGACTCCAGGTTTTGTTTAGGGCTATTCCAGTAAAACATCTACCTCACCCAAGGACTCCAGGTTTTGTTTAGGGCTATTCCAGTAAAACATCTACCTCACCCAAGGACTCCAGGTTTTGTTTAGGGCTATTCCAGTAAACATCTATCCCCCCAGGACTCCAGGTTTTGTTTAGGACTATTCCAGTAACACATCCCCCTCACCCACGGTAGCCACGTTTTGTTTAGGGCTATTCCAGTAAAACATCTACCTCACCCAAGGACTCCAGGTTTTGTTTAGGGCTATTCCAGTAAAACATCTACCTCACCCAAGGACTCCAGGTTTTGTTTAGGGCTATTCCAGTAAAACATCTACCTCACCCAAGGACTCCAGGTTTTGTTTAGGGCTATTCCAGTAAACATCTATCCCCCCAGGACTCCAGGTTTTGTTTAGGACTATTCCACAGGACTCCAGGTTTTGTTTAGGGCTATTCCAGTAAACATCTATCCCCCCAGGACTCCAGGTTTTGTTTAGGACTATTCCACAGGACTCCAGGTTTTGTTTAGGGCTATTCCAGTAAAACATCTACCTCACCCAAGGACTCCAGGTTTTGTTTAGGGCTATTCCAGTAAAACATCTACCTCACCCAAGGACTCCAGGTTTTGTTTAGGGCTATTCCAGTAAACATCTATCCCCCCAGGACTCCAGGTTTTGTTTAGGACTATTCCACAGGACTCCAGGTTTTGTTTAAGGCTATTCCAGTAAACATCTATCCCCCCAGGACTCCAGGTTTTGTTTAGGACTATTCCACAGGACTCCAGGTTTTGTTTAGGGCTATTCCAGTAAAACATCTATCCCCCCAGGACTCCAGGTTTTGTTTAGGACTATTCCACAGGACTCCAGGTTTTGTTTAGGGCTATTCCAGTAAAACATCTACCTCACCCAAGGACTCCAGGTTTTGTTTAGGGCTATTCCAGTAAAACATCTATCCCCCCAGGACTCCAGGTTTTGTTTAGGACTATTCCACAGGACTCCAGGTTTTGTTTAGGGCTATTCCAGTAAACATCTATCCCCCCAGGACTCCAGGTTTTGTTTAGGACTATTCCACAGGACTCCAGGTTTTGTTTAGGGCTATTCCAGTAAAACATCTATCCCCCCAGGACTCCAGGTTTTGTTTAGGACTATTCCACAGGACTCCAGGTTTTGTTTAGGGCTATTCCAGTAAAACATCTATCTCACCCCAGGACTCCAGGTTTTGTTTAGGGCTATTCCAGTAAAACATCTACCTCACCCAAGGACTCCAGGTTTTGTTTAGGGCTATTCCAGTAAAACATCTACCTCACCCAAGGACTCCAGGTTTTGTTTAGGGCTATTCCAGTAAAACATCTACCTCACCCAAGGACTCCAGGTTTTGTTTAGGGCTATTCCAGTAAAACATCTACCTCACCCAAGGACTCCAGGTTTTGTTTAGGGCTATTCCAGTAAACATCTATCCCCCCAGGACTCCAGGTTTTGTTTAGGACTATTCCACAGGACTCCAGGTTTTGTTTAGGGCTATTCCAGTAAACATCTATCCCCCCAGGACTCCAGGTTTTGTTTAGGACTATTCCACAGGACTCCAGGTTTTGTTTAGGGCTATTCCAGTAAAACATCTATCCCCCCAGGACTCCAGGTTTTGTTTAGGACTATTCCACAGGACTCCAGGTTTTGTTTAGGGCTATTCCAGTAAAACATCTACCTCACCCAAGGACTCCAGGTTTTGTTTAGGGCTATTCCAGTAAAACATCTACCTCACCCAAGGACTCCAGGTTTTGTTTAGGGCTATTCCAGTAAAACATCTATCCCCCCAGGACTCCAGGTTTTGTTTAGGACTATTCCACAGGACTCCAGGTTTTGTTTAGGGCTATTCCAGTAAACATCTATCCCCCCAGGACTCCAGGTTTTGTTTAGGACTATTCCACAGGACTCCAGGTTTTGTTTAGGGCTATTCCAGTAAAACATCTATCCCCCCAGGACTCCAGGTTTTGTTTAGGACTATTCCACAGGACTCCAGGTTTTGTTTAGGGCTATTCCAGTAAAACATCTATCTCACCCCAGGACTCCAGGTTTTGTTTAGGGCTATTCCAGTAAAACATCTACCTCACCTCAGGACTCCAGGTTTTGTTTAGGGCTATTCCAGTAAAACATCTACCTCACCTCAGGACTCCAGGTTTTGTTTAGGGCTATTCCAGTAAAACATCTATCCCCCCAGGACTCCAGGTTTTGTTTAGGACTATTCCACAGGACTCCAGGTTTTGTTTAGGGCTATTCCAGTAAAACATCTATCTCACCCCAGGACTCCCAGTTTTGTTTAGGACTATTCCACAGGACTCAAGGTTTTGTTTAGGGCTATTCCAGTAAACATCTATCTTACCCCAAGACTCCAGGTTTTGTTTAGGGCTGTTCAAGCAAAAAATCTATCCCAACCAGAAATTTAATTGATAATTTACTTAGAATTAATAGGCCGGAAACCAAATCATAGATAGTAATCATTTATATTGTAGTCCTGGGGTCAAGTAAATGTTTTATTGTAATGGTCCTTGAGTGCCTGAGTGATAGAGCATCGGACACTGGTTCTTACCTCAAACTCATATCCCTTGTGTGTATTTCTCCATGTTCCACAAGCAATGAGGTCACAGACAGCAGTGTTACAGTAGTCCTCACTGAAAATACCTTACAGCAGGAAAGCTAAAAATGCCAAGGGAGATAACTTTGTAAAAGAAAGGTAGATAATGTGGGAAAAGGAAAAATTGGGATATCATGCATTGATATGATAATGAAGCTTATTTAGAAATAATTAAGTCATCTTAGAGTGTTGGAAGAAGTCCTACACATAAAACAAATTTTAACAATACATTTTGTAACTGTAAAACCCAAATTGGTTTAATGATATCAAGATTCTTTGTGATCGTACACTTAAATTGTAACTCATAAAAAAGTGCCTTCCTTGAAATTATATACTGCTGCTGTACTTTATTTCAACTTCATTGATGTCTGTACAAAATCTAATTTTCATTGCACACTTAAACCTACTTTGAATGCCTACTGGTATATATTTATAGATATGGTATCTATGAAGATGTCAGGTCCCAGTTAATGCAGTTCATAGTCCATGAACCTCAACCACCTGTCTATAAAGGCCATTGTTCTGCTACCTTTTGATCTTTACAGACTGGTTTCATGGTATATATATTTTCCTGTGTGATTTGAAATAAATCTTGTACAATTTTGACTTTACGTTGAAGGTTCAGGATGAGGGAATCATTGCTTTGGCCAATGGTTGTCCTGAGTTAAGGTTGGTGAATCTGCACAGTAGCAGCATAGGTGACGCAGGAGCATATCACCTTCAGAAAGTGAGTACACTAGCTTAAGGATGTATGTTACCTATAGATGTTACATGTAATATGTGTTAAATGTTATCTCCCTTTGTGATATGATACCTAACACATTATCACACATATCATCTATCTGTTATCACACATTACATCTATCTGTTATCACACATTACATCTATCTGTTATCACACATTACACCTATCTGTTATCTGTTATCACACATTACATCTATCTGTTATCTGTTATCACACATAACATCTGTTATCTGTTATCACACATTACATCTATCTGTTATCACACATTACATCTATCTGTTATCTGTTATTACACATTACATATACCTGTTATCAAACATTACACCGATCTGTTATCTGTTATCACACATTATACCTATCTGCTATCACACATTACATATACCTGTTTTCAAACATTACACCTATCTGTTATCTGTTTTATACATTACATCTATCTGTTATCTGTTATCACACATTACATCTATCTGTTATCACACATTACATATACCTGTTATCAAACATTACACCTATCTGTTATCTGTTATCACACATTACATCTGTCTGTTATCACACATAACATCTGTTATCTGTTATCACGCATTACATCTATCTGTTACCACACATTACATCTATCTGTTATCACACATTACATATACCTGTTATCACACATTACATCTATCTGTTATCACACATTACATCTATCTGTTATCACACATTACATATACCTGTTATCACACATTACACCTATCTGTTATCTGTTATCACACATTACATCTATCTGTTATCACACATTACATCTGTTATCTGTTATCACACATTACATCTGTCTGTTATCACACTTCTATCTGTTATTACACATTACATCTATCTGTTATCACACATTACATCTGTTATCTGTTATCACACATTACATCTATCTGTTATTACACATTACATCTATCTGTTATTACACATTACATCTATCTGTTATTACACATTACATCTATCTGTTATTACACATTACATCTATCTGTTATTACACATGACATCTGTTATCTGTTATCACACATAACATCTGTCTGTTATCACACATTACATCTGTTATCTGTTATCACACATAACATCTGTCTGTTATCACACTTCTATCTGTTATTACACATTACATCTATCTGTTATTACACATTACATCTATCTGTTATTACACATTACATCTATCTGTTATTACACATTACATCTATCACATCTATCTGTTATTACACATTACATCTATCTGTTATCACACATTACATCTATCTGTTATTACACATTACATCTATCTGTTATCTGTTATTACACATTACATCTATCTGTTATCACACATTACATCTGTCTGTTATCACACATTACATCTTAACATGTTAACCAGACTTTTTTTGATATTTTCCAGCTTAAGTTTCTACAGAACTTAATCGGACGGTTCTGTTTTGTTTTTCAGCTTAAGTTTTTACAGACTTTGGACTTGTCTGCTTCAAATGAGCTGAGCTTACAGACTGTGTGTGCAATTGCACGACATTGTACACAGCTGGAATGTCTGAATCTGTCTCTGAACCGTAACGTGGATGATGGCTGTGTAGAGATGGTTGCCATGCATTGTTCTCACCTGAGGAAACTGTACTGTGTGTCATGTAACATTACTGATACAGGTAAGGCCAAACCTTGTATGATCAACAGTCAACGGTAAGGCTAGACCAGTATAAAGTTATGTTGTCTTTGTGTCAGGTATGATAAACAGGGGCCATGATAGCTCATTTGGTCATTGCATTGGCCTACATAAACACCAAATCCATGGTGGTTTGTGTTTCGCAGAAAGCTGAGAAATGGACCTTTCTGTGCTGATGTTGTTGTGTCCTTGGGCAAGACTCTGTACCCTAATTGCTGTACATGGCATGTGACGGTCCTCCAGTATTTTGTTCAGTGAGGCAGTCACCAGCTGCTACAAGAAGATCCTGCCTTAGTATGACCCTTGTAACTGTTGATAAAGCCAGCAAACAGCTGTGATGAACAGACTTAAGGCTCCTATCATCAATGATGAGAATATGATGCAGTTGAAACCTCATTAACTCAAAATAGCTCGAGTCGAAATTCCGTTTGAGTCGAAACAATTTCCAAGTCCTGATTATTTTCCGTCTTTGTCTTTGTAGTTAGGATGACTCAACATTTGATACTGACGATAAATTACTTGTTTCATTATCCAGTTAAATTTTGGTTTCTTAATAAGTGTCACTGTCCTGTAGTAATGAAATCAATAACTAATATTTGTGCTTGTTTACTAAAGGACAGTAATCAAGTACTTTGTTAGATTTAGTGCTTGTACAATGCAGTGCTGAAAATATTTTTCATTAATAGAGCCTATATTGTGCATGATTTGTCTAGTGCTTGTACAATGTTTTCTGTAACAGGTAAAAACTTTCTACTGCCACGCTTTTGTTTATTCATTCATAGTAAACTCCTGTTAATATGAAATCTAGCTTCGTACATCATTTCTTGTAGGGTATCAATAAGCACATTTTAGGGTTTTTTATTGACATTGTGTAAAATATATGATATCTATGTGCTTTGACAGTTGAGGGAAGGGTGGAGGGAGGGGGGTGGAGTGGGGGGGATGTACACGTGTACAGGATGATGTAAGTACAAATGATGTTGATTGGTATTGTTATTACATGTTTTGCTTGGATGAATAAACAATAAAATTAGGAAGTAGAAATCTATTTGTTTTCTGTTAATTTACTACCATTTTAAATAACAGATTAAACTATGGTATTTGTATCATGGATTACCTTTAGCCTTAACCGTAACGACAATCAAGAAACTGATATTGTCAACCTTATTCAGACACTATCTTTAAGTCACAATTCGGATGAGTTGAAATATTTTCTACAGTCCCTTGAATTTTGAGATGACATGTTTCAATTGTATTTGTCTTTACTATATCTAAGTCAAAATTTATATTGAAGGTGTTTTACTTATGTGTTTTGTATGATCCCTTCTGTAAAACATTGTTTCTGCAGGACTAGAGTACCTTGGCAGATATGGTCAGAGATTAGAACACCTGGACCTAGGCTGGTGTCCCTCAGTCACTGACGCTGGTGTCCGCTTTGTCTCTGCAAACTGTCCAGCCTTACGATACATTGGTCTTATTCGGTGTGACCAGGTGACGTCTGATGGCATTGAAGATCTTGTAGACAAATATCCACATATTAACTATTCTACGTTTATTCTGGAGTCAAGAAAAATCATTGAAATGGCAAGGATGCAGGGCTTCCAGTTCCCCAGCAGTGATGAGAACGAAACTAAATTTCCTGTTTTAGTGCATAAATGATATGGGACAGTAGAGAACAGTAATGTGCAATTGTGTATATCTTCAGAAGAATTTCATGTATTCTTACTTATATAACTCAATATCTTCACAGAAAAAAATAAACAAAGGCTGTTCAAAATCATTTAATATTTTATGAAATTTATTACACAACATTCACTTAATCGTTATTTTGAATCAATGGGTTTACAATTTGTGTAGCCTTAAAGTTTCTATAGTGTATACATGTAAAAGTCAAACAAAATAAACGGTCAGTTAGGTGTGAACTTTCTATCTCCTTAATTCTAATGAACGGTAGACACAAGACATTTTTGTGATATGTTCAAGCATATAAAGCCCTGTCTAATCTGACAATATTGTCTGGGATGTCTGTCGAATTAGCCAGGTGATTTTCACATTAGCGATTTTCACATTAGCTAGGTGATTTTCACATTAGCGATTTTCACATTAGCTAGGTGATTTTCACATTAGCTGGGTGATTTTCACATTAGCTAGGCGATTTTCACATTAGCTAGGTGATTTTCACTAGCTAGGTGATTTTCACATTAGCTGGGTGATTTTCACATTAGCTGGGTGATTTTCACATTAGCTAGGTGATTTTCACATTAGCTTGGTGATTTTCACATTAGCTAGGTGATTTTTACATTAGCTAGGTGATTTTCACATTAGCTTGGTGATTTTCACATTAGCTGGGTGATTTTCACATTAGTGATTTTCACATTAGCTTGGTGATTTTCAGATTAGCTAGGTGATTTTCACATTAGCTAGGTGATTTTCACATTAGTGATTTTCACATTAGCTAGGTGATTTTCACATTGGCTGGGTGATTTTCACATTAGCTAGGTGATTTTCACATTAGCTAGGTGATTTTCACATTAGCTAGGTGATTTTCACATTAGTGATTTTCACATTAGCTAGGTGATTTTCACATTAGCTGGGTGATTTTCACATTAGCTAGGTGATTTTCACATTAGCTAGGTGATTTTCACATTAGCTAGGTGATTTTCAATATGATCACCTTAGTGATTTTCACATTAGCTAGGTGATTTTCACATTAGCTAGGTGATTTTTATTAGTGAATTTCTCATTAGGTGATTTTCACATTAGCTAGTTGATTTTCACATTAGCTAGTTGATTTTCACATGAGTGATTTTCACATTAGGTGATTTTCACATTAGCTAGTTGATTTTCACATTAGCTAGGTGATTTTCAATAGTGATTTTCACATTAGGTGATTTTCACATTAGCTAGGTGATTTTCACATTAGCTAGGTGATTTTCACATTCGCTTGGTGATTTTCACATTAGCTAGGTGATTTTCACATGAGTGATTTTCACATTAGGTGATTTTCACATTAGCTAGTTATTTTCACATTAGCTAGGTGATTTTCACATTAGCTAGTTATTTTCACATTAGCTAGGTTTTCACATTAGATTTTTTCACATTAGCTAGGTGATTTTCACATTAGCTAGGTGATTTTCACATTAGCTAGTGATTTTCACATTAGCACATAGCTAGTGGTGATTTTCACATTAGCTAGGTGATTTTCACATTAGCTGGGTGATTATCACAATAGCTAGGTGATTTTCACATTAGCTAGGTGATTTTCACATTAGCTGGGTGATTTTCACATTAGCTAGGTGATTTTCACATTAGCTGGGTGATTTTCACATTAGCTAGGTGATTTTCACATTAGCTAGGTGATTTTCACATTAGCTAGGTGATTTTCACATTAGCTAGGTGATTTTCACATTAGCTAGGTGATTTTCACATTAGCTAGGTGATTTTCACATTAGCTGGGTGATTTTCACATTAGATAGTTTATTATCAGATTAGATAGGTGATTTTCACATTAGCTGGGTGATTTTCACATTAGCTAGGTGATTTTCACATTAGCTAGGTGATTTTCACATTAGCTAGCTAGGTGATTTTCACATTAGTGATTTTCACATTAGCTGGGTGATTTTCACATTAGCTAGGTGATTTTCACATTTTTCACATTAGGTGATTTTCACAGGTGATTTTCACATTAGCTGGGTGATTTTCACATTAGCTAGGATTTTCACATTAGATTTTCACATTAGCACATTAGGTGATTTTCACATTAGCTAGGTGATTTTCACATTAGCTAGGTGATTTTCACATTAGCTGGGTGATTTTCACATTAGCTAGGTGATTTTCACATTAGCTGGGTGATTTTCACATTAGAGAATTTCACATTAGCTAGGTGATTTTCACATTAGTGATTTTCACATTAGCTAGGTGATTTTCACATTAACTAGGTGATTTTCATTAGTGATTTTCACATTAGGTGATTTTCACATTAGCTAGTTGATTTTCACATTAGCTAGGTGATTTTCATTAGTGATTTTCACATTAGGTGATTTTCACATTAGCTAGGTGATTTTCACATTAGCTAGGTGATTTTCACATTAGCTAGTTGATTTTCACATAGGTGATTTTCACATTAGCTAGGTGATTTTCACATTAGCTAGGTGATTTTCAAATTAGTGATTTTCACATTAGCTAGGTGATTTTCACATTAGCTAGGTGATTTTCAAATTAGTGATTTTCACATTAGCTAGGTGATTTTCACATTAGCTAGGTGGTTTTTATTAGTGAATTCCTCATTAGGTGATTTTCACATTAGCTAGTTGATTTTCACATTAGCTAGGTGATTTTCACATTAGCTAGGTGATTTTCACATTAGTGATTTTCACATTAGCTAGTTGATTTTCACATAGGTGATTTTCACATTAGCTAGGTGATTTTCACATTAGCTTGGTGATTTTCACATAGGTGATTTTCACATTAGCTAGGTGATTTTCACATTAGCTAGGTGATTTTCAAATTAGTGATTTTCACATTAGCTAGGTGATTTTCACATTAGCTAGGTGATTTTCAAATTAGTGATTTTCACATTAGCTAGGTGATTTTTATTAGTGAATTTCTCATTAGGTGATTTTCACATTAGCTAGTTGATTTTCACATTAGCTAGGTGATTTTCACATTAGCTAGGTGATTTTCACATTAGGTGATTTTCACATTAGCTAGTTATTTTCACATTAGCTAGGTGATTTTCACATTAGCTAGGTGATTTTCACATTAGCTAGTTATTTTCACATTAGCTAGTTGATTTTCACATTAGCTAGTTATTTTCACATTAGCTAGGTGATTTTCACATTAGTGATTTTCACATTAGCTAGGTGATTTTCACATTAGGTGATTTTCACATTAGCTAGATGATTTTAACATTAGCTAGGTGATTTTCACATTAGCTAGGTGATTTTCACATTAGCTAGATGATTTTCACATTAGCTAGATGATTTTAACATTAGCTAGGTGATTTTCACATTAGCTAGTTGATTTTCACATAGGTGATTTTCACATTAGCTAGGTGATTTTCACATTAGTGATTTTCACATTAGCTAGGTGATTTTCACATTAGGTGATTTTCACATTAGCTAGATGATTTTCACATTAGCTAGATGATTTTCACATTAGCTAGGTGATTTCCACTGTTTATTTCAAGTGATTTGAAATAACACTGGTACAGGCAGGCCAATCTTATCTTACTTGTACCTGGGGGTCAGAAAAGATTAATAAGGGGTCAAATAATGTCAAAAAATGTCAGAACGGTATTAGACAGGATGTCAAAATACTCAGGGGTCAGAATACTCAGGGGTCAGATTAAACAGGGTCAGAATACTCAGGGGTCAAATTAAATAGGGTCAGAATACTCAGGGGTCAAATTAAATAGGGTCAGAATACTCAGGGGTCAAAATATACAGAGGTCGGAATACTCAGGGATCAAAATATACAGAGGTCGGAATACTCAGGGATCAAAATATACAGAGGTCGGAATACTCAGGGATCAAAATATACAGAGGTCGGAATACTCAGTGATTCAACACAGAATCAGAATACTTAGGTCAGATAAGAAAGAATATTAGAATATGCAGAGGCCAGATTAGACAGGGTGTCAGAATATTATGGTGTCAAATTGAACACGTTTTATTGCATATCTAGTTGTATGTTCTCTTCATACCAATTCACAATATCTTATTCTTTAACACTTCATCACATTATTTGTATTCATGACCTGCAGTGTTCACAGATGCTAATTTCATTTCTGTAGCAGTATAAAATCTGAGGGATAAAAATGTGTCTGCCTTAATGCTCTCAATTCCATAATTGTCCAAGGGAACATCATAGAGGAAGACCAATCCCCATAGACTGCTTCAAGGATGAAGGTCAGTAAGTACACTGACCACCGTAGACATCCTAAAATTTCAAAGTTATGTTGAGGTCAGTAGGTAGTGTTTATAGGCAGGTTGTAAGTAAAGAAAGGCAGTCATTGTAGTGATACTTAAGCCAAAAAATCCACGGAGAAGCTGACAGGAATGCAGATTATCATTAAAGGCTGTTTGTTCTGGTAGACAGGTAGATTAACAGTAGACTTAAAGGTGGGTAACCATTGTAGATAGGTGGTCCTTGGGACATATAGTCTAAATATTGCCATTGTAGATAGGTGGTCCTTGGGACATATAGTCTAAATGTTGCCTTTGTAGATAGGTTGTCCTTGGGACATATAGTCTAAATATTGCCATTGTAGATAGGTGGTCCTTGGGACATATAGTCTAAATGTTGCCTTTGTAGATAGGTTGTCCTTGGGACATATTTTCTAAATATTGCCTTTGTAGATAGGTGGTCCTTGGGACAGGTAGTCTAAATATTGCCTTTGTAGATAGGTGGTCCTTGGGACAGGTAGTCTAAATATTGCCTTTGTAGATAGGTGGTCCTTGGGACATATAGTCTAAATATTGCCTTTGTAGATAGGTGGTCCTTGGGACAGGTAGTCTAAATATTGCCTTTGTAGATAGGTGGTCCTTGGGACATATAGTCTAAATATTGCCTTTGTAGATAGGTGGTCCTTGGGACAGGTAGTCTAAATATTGCCTTTGTAGATAGGTGGTCCTTGGGACAGGTAGTCAAATATTGCCTTTGTAGATAGGTGGTCCTTGGGACATATAGTCTAAAATATTGCCATTGTAGATAGGTGGTCCTTGGGACATATAGTCTAAATATTGCCATCATAGATAAATGGTCCTTGGGACATATAGTCTAAAATATTGCCATTGTAGATAGGTGGTCCTTGGGACATATAGTCTAAATGTTGCCTTTGTAGATAGGTGGTCCTTGGGACATATAGTCTAAATATTGCCTTTGTAGATAGGTGGTCCTTGGGACAGGTAGTCTAAATATTGCCTTTGTAGATAGGTGGTCCTTGGGACATATAGTCTAAATATTGCCTTTGTAGATAGGTGTTCCTTGGGACATATAGTCTAAATATTGCCTTTGTAGATAGGTGGTCCTTGGGACAGGTAGTGTAAAATATTGCCTTTGTTGATAGGTTGTCCTTGGGACAGGTAGTCTAAATATTGCCTTCGTAGATAGATGGTCCTTGGGACAGGTAGTCTAAATATTGCATTTGTAGATAGGTGGTCCTTGGGACAGGTAGTCTAAATATTGCCATTGTAGATAGGTGGTCCTTGGGACAGGTAGTCTAAATATTACCTTTGTAGATAGGTGGTCCTTGGGACATATAGTCTAAATATTGCCTTTGTAGATAGGTGGTCCTTGGGACAGGTAGTCTAAATATTGCCTTTGTAGATAGGTGGTCCTTGGGACATATAGTCTAAATATTACCTTTGTAGATAGGTGGTCCTTGGGACATATAGTCTAAATATTACCTTTGTAGATAGGTGGTCCTTGGGACAGGAAGTGTAAAATATTGCCTTTGTTGATAGGTGGTCCTTGGGACATATAGTCTAAATATTGCCTTTGTAGATAGGTGGTCCTTGGGACAGGTAGTCTAAATATTGCCTTTGTAGATAGGTGGTCCTTGGGACATATAGTCTAAATATTACCTTTGTAGATAGGTGGTCCTTGGGACATATAGTCTAAATATTACCTTTGTTGATAGGTGGTCCTTGGGACAGGTAGTGTAAAATATTGCCTTTGTTGATAGGTGGTCCTTGGGACAGGTAGTGTAAAATATTGCCTTTGTAGATAGGTGGTCCTTGGGACAGGTCCTGTGTAGTTCAGATGACCTTTGTAGGTCATTTAAGGTGGTCAATGGAGAAGGCAAATGTTCCTGGAGGGAGGCAGGTGGCCTTTAGACAGGTGATCCTCATGGAAGGGAGATGGTCTTTAGGCAAGTGATCCTTGAATGAAGACAGAAGGCCTTTTAGACAGGTGATCCTGGTGGAAGGCAGATGGTCCTGATGGAAGGCAGATGACCTTTAGACAGGTAATCCTGATGGAATGCAGATGACCTTTAGACAGGTGATCTTCATGGAAGGGAGATGGTCTTTAGACAGGTAATCCTTGAATGAAGACAGAAGGCCTTTTAGACAGGTGATCCTGGTGGAAGGCAGATGATCCTGATGGAAGGCAGATGACCTTTAGACAGGTGATACTGATGGAAGGAAGTTGGCTTTAAGACAGGTGATCCTGGTGGAAGGCAGACGGCCTTTCAGACATGTGATACTGATGGAAGGCAGATGGTCCTGATGGAAGGCAGATGACCTTTAGACAGGTAATCCTGATGGAAGGCAGATGACCTTTAGACAGGTGATCCTCATGGAAGGCAGATGACCTTTAGACAGGTGATCCTCATGGAAGGGAGATGGTCTTTAGACAGGTAATCCTTGAATGAAGACAGAAGGCCTTTTAGACAGGTGATCCTGGTGGAAGGCAGATGATCCTGATGGAAGGCAGATGACCTTTAGACAGGTGATACTGATGGAAGGAAGTTGGCTTTAAGACAGGTGATCCTGGTGGAAGGCAGATGATCCTGATGGAAGGCAGATGACCTTTAGACAGGTGATCCTGGTGGAAGGCAGATGATCCTGATGGAAGGCAGATGACCTTTAGAAAGGTGATCCTGATGGAAGGCAGATGACCTGTAGACAGGAGATCCTGGTGGAAGGCAGATGGTCCTGATGGAAGGCAGATGGCCTTTAGACAGGTAATCCTGATGGAAGGCAGATGACCTTTAGACAGGTGATCCTGGTAGAAGGCAGATGATCCTGATGGAAGGCAGATGACCTTTAGACAGGTGATCCTGATGGAAGGCAGATGACCTTTAGACAGGTGATCCTGGTGGAAGGCAGATGATCCTGATGGAAGGCAGATGACCTTTAGAAAGGTGATCCTGATGGAAGGCAGATGACCTTTAGACAGGTGATCCTGGTGGAAGGCAGATGATCCTGATGGAAGGCAGATGACCTTTAGACAGGTGATCCTGATGGAAGGCAGATGATATTGATGGAAGGCAGAGGCCTTTTAGACAGGTGATCCTGATGGAAGGCAGATGATATTGATGGAAGGCAGAGGCCTTTTAGACAGGTGATCCTGGAGGAAGACAGAAGGCCTTGTAGACAGGTGATCCTGATGGAAGACAGAAGGCCTTTTAGACAGGTGATCCTGATGGAAGGCAGATGGTCTTTTAGACAGGTGATCCTGGTGGAAGGCAGATGGTCCTGATGGAAGGCAGATGGCCTTTAGACAGGTAATCCTGATGGAAGGCAGATGACCTTTAGACAGGTGATCCTGGTGGAAGGCAGATGATCCTGATGGAAGGCAGATGACCTTTAGACAGGTGATCCTGATGGAAGGCAGATGATATTGATGGAAGGCAGAGGCCTTTTAGACAGGTGATCCTGGAGGAAGACAGAAGGCCTTGTAGACAGGTGATCCTGATGGAAGACTGAAGGCGTTTTAGACAGGTGATCCTAGAAGGAGATGGATGATGTTTATACTAGTTGGTCCTACAGGAAGATATCCTACACAGAATCCTCCTCTATCGCGTAGTTTCCATTGTAGTGCCATACAGGAAGTTTGTTAATGGAGTCGTTGTCATCGTCATCATTACTAACATCACCTCTTCCATCGATAATTATGCATACATTCTGTGGAGAAAACGAGAAAATCAGCTCTGTGCTCTTAAATAACCATATTTCTCATGATATATATCTTTGGAGTGTTTTTTCAAACCCAACATTTAATTTGATTATGAAAGAGCAGCTATATAGAGCGACTACTATAACTAGATCTGAAACTAGGCAATACAATTTTTTTATTAGAAAAATAATTTGAAGCAAAATAACAAAAAATCAGCAAACCGAAACCCCTTGCTATAAGAAATATTTCTCTTGATTTACACAGTATCATGATTGGTGTTACCTTTCTAATTTTCTCGATGTATTCACACAACCTTTGAAAGGAAGGTCGAGATTCCGGGTCCTTATGCCAGCAAAGCATCATAACATCATAGCTATAATATAATAGGTGTTTAGCATGAATATCAAAAGACAGATAACATTATTCAGATCTCATGAAAGTGATGCTACATGTTTGCCTCAGCAGTGAAACATCTTTCCCTTTTGCAATAAAGAAGTATTGTCTATAAGGTAAGTATTATGTAATAAATATATCCATGTAAAACCACAGAGTTTTACTGTATTTACTGAACTCACCAGTCTTTTCATTGCACTTGAATACTTGTGCAGTGAGATATAACATGACAGTTCTTATTACTGATTACACAAGTATTTATCATTTTTTAGAGTATGATGTTTTTGTATTTGAAGAACTAATATGGGGTGATAGTTTGACACCTCTACTTATATAGGATTCCAAAGATAAAAGACAAACGTACACGGCTGGTGGACATCGGGCTGGAGCTTCCATCCTCTGACCTTCGTTGACCTTCCCCATCATCTCGTCACACTTCATTGAAGGATAGGGGACACAGCCAAAGGAAAATATTTCCCATAGCAACACACCATAAGCCCTGAAAGGTAACAGTTACAGAAATAGAACAACGTGGATGGTTATATAAAACTTTGGTAATTGTCTCCCATAGCAACACATCATATACCATGGAATAAAGTAAATCCTTGGTAATTGTCTCCCATAGCAACACATCATATACCCTGGAATAATGTAAAACCTTGGTAATTGTCTCCCATAGCAACACATCATATACCCTGGAATAATGTAAAACCTTGGTAATTGTCTCCCATAGCAACACATCATATACCCTGGAATAATGTAAATCCTTGGTAATTGTCTCCCATAGCAACACATCATATACCCTGTAATGTAAATCCTTGGTAATTGTCTCCCATAGCAACACATCATATACCCTGGAATAATGTAAAACCTTGGTAATTAGCAACACATCATATACCCTGTAATGTAAAACCTCCCATAGCAACACATCATATACCCTGGAATAATGTAAATCCTTGGTAATTGTCTCCCATAGCAACACATCATATACCCTGGAATAATGTAAAACCTTGGTAATTGTCTCCCATAGCAACACATCATATACCCTGGAATGTTAATCCTTGGTAATTGTCTCCCATAGCAACACATCATATACCATGGAATAAAGTAAATCCTTGGTAATTGTCTCCCATAGCAACACATCATATACCCTGTAATGTAAAACCTTGGTAATTGTCTCCCATAGCAACACATCATATACCCTGGAATAATGTAAAACCTTGGTAATTGTCTCCCATAGCAACACATCATATACCCTGGAATGTAAATCCTTGGTAATTGTCTCCCATAGCAACACATCATATACCCTGTAATGTAAAACCTTGGTAATTGTCTCCCATAGCAACACATCATATACCCTGTAATGTAAAACCTTGGTAATTGTCTCCCATAGCAACACATCATATACCCTGTAATGTAAAACCTTGGTAATTGTCTCCCATAGCAACACATCATATACCCTGTAATGTAAAACCTTGGTAATTGTCTCCCATAGCAACACATCATATACCCTGTAATGTAAAACCTTGGTAATTGTCTCCCATAGCAACACATCATATACCCTGTAATGTAAAACCTTGGTAATTGTCTCCCATAGCAACACATCATATACCCTGTAATGTAAAACCTTGGTAATTGTCTCCCATAGCAACACATCATATACCCTGTAATGTAAAACCTTGGTAATTGTCTCCCATAGCAACACATCATATACCCTGGAATAATGTAAATCCTTGGTAATGTAAAACCTTGGTAATTGTCTCCCATAGCAACACATCATATACCCTGTAATGTAAAACCTTGGTAATTGTCTCCCATAGCAACACATCATATACCCTGGAATAATGTAAATCCTTGGTAATTGTCTCCCATAGCAACACATCATATACCCTGTAATGTAAAACCTTGGTAATTGTCTCCCATAGCAACACATCATATACCCTGGAATAATGTAAATCCTTGGTAATTGTCTCCCATAGCAACACATCATATACCCTGTAATGTAAAACCTTGGTAATTGTCTCCCATAGCAACACATCATATACCCTGTAATGTAAAACCTTGGTAATTGTCTCCCCTAGTAACAGACTTGGACTGTTGGTTCCTATTTTCAAAAATGGAGTAAATCAGAAAACCATGGAAATCCACACAAAATGCCGGCCATTTGATATCCTGTGTTACAATCCATATTTTTCTGCTTAAAATCATTAAAATGTGAGGCCCTGAAAATGCTGAGTGTTTACGGTATACTTACCATACGTCTGATTTCGTGGTAAAAACTCCCTCAAGGTAGGATTCTGGGGGCAGCCATCGGACAGGCAGCATAGATCGTCCACACTTCTTGTACAAGTCATTCCTATAACAACAATAGGTCATCAAAAGGCTGTGTTCTTCAGGTAACTGACAATGCCTAATAACACATATTATATCATATTTGTTTACCCTAAAAGATTGCCTCATACCGTGAAATTGTTTCACATAGCAAGCTGAAAGAGCTGAAAACCCCAAATGTAAAACTGTCATTTCAGCACAGACAGTCTAACATATTATATATATTGTATATTGTCAGAGTTTATGATTCTGGGTGTCATCAAACTATACACGTCAATTTAGCGTGTATTTCCAGAGTTTGTTGGGTCAGATATTGACCTGTCAACACCAAGGTGATTTTGTGGTGTTGTCTCCTTGTTTTAGTCCAATGTCACACTTAAAAACGTAAGGACGTCTGATACATGTTATCAATTGTAGTTGTTGTCAAGGTCATTGCCCAGACACAACCACGACAGCAAACACTAGTCCGCTTCAGGGTCTCGCGAAATACAAAGCACACACCTCAGACCTGAGGCGTTAACATCCAACATGTTTGAGCATTGTCCACAACAAGGAATGGTTTGCAGAAAATATTTAGAGAAGATGGAGTGTTGTGAGATGGTTCAGAAACCATACCCTAAAAACTCGAAAATAGATTTTAAAAGCCTAAAAATATTGTTATAATTTGTTACATAAATCAAGATGCAATTCCTATTAAAGAAAAACAGCCATATCTTAATTTTTGGTTATCTACATTGTCCTGTATAGAACCACAATCAATAAACCACACGGTATCGAACATTTGTCGTTTTTGTTGATTTCGAACGTAATCTGATTTTGTGTATTCTAAATCTGATGTGCCGTATTTAATATGATCTATAATTTCTAGTTTTACATTCAATATTTTTGATAAGTAACGCTAAAGTTTCTACAATCATATGGTATGTACTTACTGCATGATGTCCCTTGCTAGACCGAAATCTGCCATTTTCACCACTCTGTCCGGAGTCTTTGTAGTCAGGAGACAGTTACGAGACGCTATGTCTCTGTAATGTTGAATACAATGAGGTTTTATGTTCTACAAAGTCATACGAACTCAACGAGTAGAAGACTTCATATGAAAAAGTACATTCAGTTACATCGGTAAAAATCTAAATTTGCTGGAAGTAAACCTTTAAGTTCGCAACAATGTGTATTTTATGAATAATTTGAGCGAGATACAATTATAGCCAAATTTCTATAGAAAAAAACTTCCTGTTGATAAAAACCACTTTATTAAGTTGCTAACAATATAAAATTCCTGAGAAATATAACCTCTATAGTCACCTGCCTATAACGGCTTTTTTTCTCTGCTCTCTAGAGTGACCTTAATTGACAGGTTCCACCAATGTCAATGACCCCTGAACCCCACTCATATTATCCCCGTATATGTACATTAGATATCTCACCTGTGTATAAATTTGTTTCTTTCCAAATACCTGCATGCTTGACATATGTCATTTGCTAAGGAGAGGAGTTCATTTGTACTGAGTGTTGTGGCTTCATCCTGTAGAAAGAATGAAAACCGACGTAAAGTTCTATTTTAGGACACTACATTTATTGATTCAATTTACAAAATCCTACTTGCCTTTCCATCCACAAACCACGAACGATGTGTACATCTTGATCAAGTTATTGTAACACGCTTGAAATTTGATTTAACAAGAGATTGATTTGACAAGAGATTGAAATGGCTTGCATCCACCATCTGGTACTCAACGCTTCTCACTTCAACATTAATATTTAAAATTATTGAAAATTAATGTTTAGGTAGATAAGAAGATGATGTTTAACCGTTCTAACAAATGTAACCATAGAAACGGCTCACGACTTTGTTTTCGTAAACATTTATTTTTATCCCGAAAACCTGTCTTCAAAATACCAAGATATTCTGAGCCTTTTGGTTGGCAAGTAGAGACTTTGTTTAAAGGTTTTGATAAATTTGACCCCTGTGATTTTGAATATGTCACACGTTAAACACTTTTCGGACTTCATCCCAGAAACAATTTTACGGTTTAGGATGAGATGATACATGTACACAAATATCGGTATGAAAATTACATATACATAAAACAAAGTAATTCTTACATGAAGTTTACCAACAGTAAATAGATAATCACCCACTGTCCTTTGCTTAATTCTCCCTGGCACTCTGAATTAAGCTTCAGAATCTAGAAAACTGTTTACATGATTCTATAACAAATTGTTTTTAAATATGTATCTCCAACAGACTATGGTCGGGCGTGGGGGCGGGAATCCACCAGACTAATTCACACACTTGCCTTGTAGGGCGGGAATCCACCAGATATCCCCTTACTTACCAAGGTCGGGCGTGAATCCACCATAAATCCTTTATACTCACCGTGGTCAGGTGGAACTCAACAGAAATCCCTTTACTCACCATGGTTGTGCGTGAATCCACAGGAAATTCACACACTTACTGTGCTGGGGCGTGAATCCACCAGAACTATTCACACACTCACCGTGGTGGGGTGTGAATCCTCACCGTGGTGGGGCGTGAGAATTATTCACACACTCACCGTGGTGGGGCGTCACACACACACACTCACCGTGGTGGGGCGTGAATCCTCCAGAACTATTCACACACTCACCGTGGTGGGGCGTGAATCACACACTCACAGTGTGGTGGGGCGTGAATCCACCAGAACTATTCACACACTCACCGTGGTGGGGCGTGAATCCACCAGAACTATTCACACACTCACCGTGGTGGGGCGTGAATCACACACTCACCGTGGTGGGGCGTGAATCCTCCAGAACTATTCACACACTCACCGTGGTGGGGCGTGAATCCACCAGAATTATTCACACACTCACCGTGGTGGGGCGTGAATCCTCCAGAACTATTCACACACTCACCGTGGTGGGGCGTGAATCACACACTCACCGTGGTGGGGCGTGAATCCTCCAGAATTATTCACACACTCACCGTGGTGGGGCGTGAATCCTCCAGAATTATTCACACACTCACCGTGGTGGGGCGTGAATCACACACTCACCGTGGTGGGGCGTGAATCACACACTCACAGTGGTGGGGCGTGAATCCTCCAGAAATATTCACACACTCACCG